CGCAAAATTAGGCCAAAATGGCTGAAAAGACTATTTGCGTCATCACGGGATCCTAGAAAAAAGGCTTAACATTAAGGAAACATTGGAGAAAAACAGGGGATTTCATAATGATATACTAACGACCAAAGATCTGTCTTTGAAAAAGAACTCCTCAAGGTCCTGTGCTTTTGTATTTCTAAAACTATTTGTAAAACATACGTTACAAAGTCTACAGACTCTAGTAGACGTATTTTTTTGTAGCTAGGTACGTACCATTCTTGGTCACTGTTAATCACAAATCAACAAGAAACGTGTCGTTGGCCACGGTAAGGGGACACGAACAAACCACTTTGCGCAGTCAGGGTGATACCATATCAGGTAGTGCTGACAGCGTATCACAAACGCTGAGTCAAGAACTGCGTGGAAGGTTGCCATTCATTGGCTTGGTCTTCGTTGAATGTGTTGAACACTTTCAAATACAAAAGTTTTCATAAAATTAGTTTTACGAGTTCGTGAGCAAAATAAGAATGCATTACAAAATAACTAAATAACGATATAATGGACACGATAGCACAATAAGTCAAAATAAATGGGATGTGACGGGGGAAAGGAAGAGCACGTACGCCCCATGTGCAACCCAACTCATTACTTTAATATTCTATTTCAAAAAACGTTAGTTGTCATTCTTGGTCCAAATCCTCCTATCCCACGCAGACGTCGCTCTGAGGTGAACGCTCCTGTTACTGTTAGAAATCGCCAACCGTTTTGGAAAATCCTCTGTCGTTATAATTGTTAGATAATCCTACAAAAGAGCAGGCGTTTTTAGTTAACTAAGAAAACAGCACGTAACCCCTGCAGGATGGCTTCGTGATTTGAAAGCCCTCGTAAAATGTATAATGGCGTTTACTATTCTGTGATATCTGTTTTGGTTGCCGAGATATTCAATAGAAATTATAAAATGATGACTCCAACACAGAATCCTAGTATGAAAAAGACAAAGCCAATATAGAGAACATCTCCGCAAAATTAGGCCAAAATGGCTGAAAAGACTATTTGCGTCATCACGGGATCCTAGAAAAAAGGCTTAACATTAAGGAAACATTGGAGAAAAACATTGGAGAGAAACAGGGGATTTTATAATGATATACGTACTAACGACCAAAGATCGAAAAGATGAAATCATATACGAAATATCAACATCCATGTTATAGAGAACATCTCCGCAAAATTAGGCCAAAATGGCTGAAAAGACTATTTGCGTCATCACGGGATCCTAGAAAAAAGGCTTAACATTGGAGAAAAACATTGAGAATTAGCCCAAAATGGCTGAAAAGACTATTTGCGTCATCACGGGATCCTAGAAAAAAGGCTTAACATTGGAGAAAAACATTGGAGAGAAACAGGGAATTTTATAATGATATACGTACTAACGACCAAAGATCGAAAAGATGAAATTGGTGTAAATATTGAAGTACGATAAGAAGCTACCAGCCACACAGAGGAAGTGCAAGGAGGCAATGAACGGAGAAACCAAAGGGGAAAACATATGCGAAAGATCAACATCCATGTAATGTGGAAAGAAAATCGCATATTATTAGACACTGCTTACCGGATCACATTTTAGGACAAAAAAGAAGAGGATTTGACAAGACATCGTTTAATGAGAATATAAACAGAAAAGGCGCTCCTTACAGAATTTGACGATCATTCAGAAGTTTGTCTGTGGAGAAAACAAATAGAAATCATTCAAAAAAGAAGAAACGCGTTAGTTCAAAAGT